ATGCAAAGACAAACATGTTCTGATAAAGGAAAAATGCCCCAGAATCGAAAATTTTAGAAATCATGCATGCAGTCAAGGAACTTCAACCTCGAAGCCAATTCAGTCTTCAAAAATTACTTCTTCTCTTACAAAGTGTTCTCTTTAGTATTGAAAAAACTAAAGAGGGACTTCCTCACTGGAGGAAGACTTGGAAAAACCCCAGACCTAAACGAAAAGCAGTGATCTTGGCCAGCAGCTTTCTGGTTTCCCCTGGCTATTATTAAGGATCCTTCTGTTTGACTAAGAATTTCTCCACCTCTCACAAACCATCTTTTTTCATTCTGTGTCCAGAAAAGTCTGAACACCATGTGTTTATAATGAGCCTGTTGCTATGCACATCGTTAAAACACATTACAAAAATCTTTCCTTTGAGTCAGGAGGAGGGCAGAACGGGGGAAGATAAACTCCTAACCAGAGTCCTGTTGCTGAACAGAAAAGCTGGCAAAAAGGCAGAAGAGAAGCCAAGCAAAATGGAAAAAATTATGGTGGTCCATCCTTGAGTCATTTTAACCAAAGGGGGAAAAACGAACATTTTTAAAGCCCCAAGGTAATGCATCTTACAGCTTGGAGAGAATTGTCTCCCTAATCTCGTTCATTTTCATGGTTTCATGACTCATCCTCCATCTGTCTCTTACTGTGTCCTCTTTACCAGCTTTTTCACACTTCTTCAAGAACATTAAGAGGTTTTTTTTTCCCCCTTTTATGAGTACTTCTGTGTGTATTCTCCTTCTGATAACTTTGGTCTTCTAGTCAATCACCACCTAAGTGTTGGTTCTGAACTGTCTGTTTCATTCCTGACTCCACCATAGCTATCTTGGCATTTTTCCTTCACTTATGAAGAGGCTTGTTTTTGAAAAGTCATATCTGGGAGATGAGAGGAAACACGGTACATCAGAATTTAAGGAAAAAACAGGGGCTTCTCTGCTGGTCCCGTGGTTAAGACTCTGCCTGTCAATGCAGGGGACACAGGTTCAATCCCTGGTTCGGGAAGATACCACATGCCATGGAGCAAGTAAGCCCGGGGACCACAGCTGCTGAGCTTGTGCTCTAGATCCCGGGAGCCACAACTGCTGAAGCCCACATGCCCGAGAGCCCGTGGTCCACAGACAGGCCACCACCACGAGAAGCCCGCACACTGCAGCTAGAGAGGAGCCCCCGCCCGCCACAGCTAGACAAAAAGCCCACACAGCAACAAAGACCCGGTGCGGCAGAAAGCAAATAAGTAAAAAAAATTGTTTTTTCATTTTAAAAAACAATGTCTTAATTTTCTAATTTAAGAAACTTTGATCATCTTAATAAAGTCAATCACCTTCTTAAACAGCATGCAATCAACATCCTTCTCCAATTTTTGTTGTATTGTTCCAAATACCGTATTAACCCACAAGTTTTCAAGGGTAGAACTGTCTGAAGACGAGAAATGAAATACACGTAATGAAATATACATTAAACATATCTTCATTTCACCTCTATTTTTATATAGATCACAGAGAGAGAGAATTCTAACTTCTTTGTTCTTATTCAGAGAAGAAATGGCTAATGTTATAGAACCTGTTTTACTCTCAAACAGAGGTAGCCAAATCACTGCAAACATGTGTTGCGTGAAAACAAGTGTGGTGGACTCCAGACAAAGGCTTATTTTTGAAGCACAGATGGTTGAATGGTTGCCTCCTCCAAAGGGTTGCCCGAAATGAAAGACAGATCTCTAGTTCTAATCTATGCAAACATCTTACTGTGCGGGGCATCACAAAGACTAACTGTTCTGTGTCAAAGCTGCGGATCCCAGGTGCTCTCAGAAGCCCAAGTCCATCTGCACCTGAGACTCCTGGTCACTCGGGAAACAGGGACTGACTGGAGAGCCGGTCACTGACCGACTCCTCGTGAATGCTGCTGGGGCCTTCGGTGAAACAGTCCTCTGGGATCCCGCCCCACCACTGCTTCTCCTCGGCCACTCTGCCTGGAAGACAGTTTCAATATTCAGTGCAGACCCCAGACGCTTCTAAAACCTCCCAGGAAGGTTCATATTCCCGAGGGCTCCTAATGACTGTTAGTATTACAGCTCTCTTCCACTTGAATTCAGCTCATCTGCTCACCTCTAACATCAACTCAGAAATCCTGAACACTCCAAAATGTTCTTCTGTCTGAACCAGGCCTCCTTTGCACTCTGGTCTATATGTCCAAAACTAAGGGTGGGTCTCAGTGAGCCAAATCTGGGTCATAGTTGGTGGCTCTCAACCTTCCCAAGTATATATATATTCCTTTTTTCTCTTCTTTTTCTTTTTTTTTGATCACACTGTGTGGCTTATGGAATTGTAGTTCCCCAACCAGGGATGGAGCCCAGGGCCCCCACAGTGAGAGCACCAGCCCTGAGCCCTGATGGAATTCCCTGCTTTTTTTCTTGTCTTTATCCCTCTATCAATGTTCCTTTATTTATTTACAACACTTTTCTCTCTTGTTTCTCCATCTCTCCAGCATAAGTCTTTGACCTGCTCTGACACCCCTTGGCACATTTCAGTTTTCAGGCCCTTTGGGACAACAAAAAATTCCTGCAATACTGGTGCATGGGGGTGGGGAGGGGAGTACCAAGAAACTCCTCATGCAAACCCAGCTCCTAGTTACAAATATCCTTTCCCACAGAGAGAGGGTTATACCTGAAATTTACATAGGTTAGTTCCAGTCTAAAAAATGTCCTTCAAAGTTCTGAATTATTTTCAGTTAGTTTTTCTGATCAAACAATAGTAAGAGAGTCTGCTTCAAACTGCTGTGTTGAGAAACACTTCTTTCCTTCCTTATCAAACCTCTTACATGAACCAACCTAACCAAGCAAAAAGAAAGTCAAAAGTTCCTACTCTATACCTCAAGTTTTGAGATTTAAACACGTTTTGTTTCAGCTTACATAGGCAAATACTGACAATCAAATAATGCAGCATTAAGTTTACCTACCTAGAAAATCTAAAACTGTAAAGAGCTTTAGAGGTTAACTAATTTATTGATTCCCAAGTCTGGATGAACATCAGAACTACCTGAGGAATATCGTTTATTTTAAACAACACATCCTTGTGATCCCCAGCCTGAGACATTCAAGTTCAGGCTTCTGGTGCCATCCTAGAATCCATATCTCGAATAAATGCTTTGGGTTAATTATGATCCAGCAAGCCCTGGTCTGAGAACCACTGATGATTCCAACATCCTATCTAATATGGCGGTCTCCTCTTCAAGACACCATACAGGCTATTTACTCTGAGCTACAGCAATTCCAGAGACCAAGGAGCCTGCTCTTTTGTAGGTCTGCTTGTTCGACTTTTATGTGGCTTTAATTATTAGAAACTCTGTTCTTATGTCAAGCCAAATGACCAAAGTCTTTCAACTCCTTGAACTTCATTGTTGCTGACCCTAATTTTGTTCTCCAGAGCTGACACAGAATTCCCTCCCCATGAGAGTCCAAAGGCAGTTACTGTACCCTTGCAAGTCTTCATCTTTCTAAGCTTAAACAATCTTTTGTTTTTTTAACTTCATATTCTGAGTCCCTCACCACTTCAACTGCTCTTCCTAAATAGACATTACAGAATAAATCTGTCTAGAGGAACACCACTTCATTTTTTTTTTTTCTTACAGGCTGAACTTTTCTCAGTATGCATTAATTAATAGTCCCTGTTTCACCCTTGGCACTCATGGTTTTGCATTTAAAGGTCCAAGAGTGATGAAGCAGCAAGTATTTATTAACCTAATGCTGTGTTCCTAACACTGTGTAAAGTACTCAAGAAGGATTCAAAAGCTGGAGGAAATCATCTTGATCTGATTTGACTTGAGGAGATTTGAGGAGATAATTTCTTAGACAGAAAGGACTTAAATGAAATCACTCAAAAACAGCACACGATGGTATATAATCAAGTGCTTCAAATGAATGACACCTGAAAGGCTGATGTAGGTTTCGTGGGTCAGTCAGCTCTCTCAGAGCCTCTGTTTTATAGAAACACCACCTATGTAACAATAGTTTAGATTAAAAAAAGAAGAAGATGGACACTATCACCTTAAAATGTAAATAAAAATTTCAACTGCATCCTTATTTCAGAAATTGAAAATCTAAGAAATGACACATATAATAATCAAGTAGCATACTGTTCCTTCCACCCCAGATGTCACTGGCATTGCTTCCAAAGCACTTTGAATGCCATGATCTGAGTAAAAGGCTTATAAGTAGAGAGTTTATGTAGTTCCCTTCATTACTGGAAATAACCATTTGATAAAACACCCCCCCACACACACACCTGCATATTTTAACGAACATCAATAAAAACGTACTCATTTCATTCACAGAGCTGCGGACTAATCAGATCATTCCAGACTTAGATGCAAATCCCTCACTTTACAGATGGGGGAGAAATACCATTTCAAAGGCCGCAGTTTCTCCCAGGAAAAGCAGCCAACGAGCAAGAGGGTGGGGCCAATCCCCAGGTCTCTTTGCCTCCTGGCTTCCTGTTTCTTTGTAGTAAACCTACCAAACCAAAACTCTTACCCAGTCTGAGCTTTCCTCAACTCTACTCCCATCTTTAGTGACCTTCTCAATCCTCAAATGCAAAGTCGGACGATGCATTTTGTTTTGAGACATTTAGAGGGAAGGAGTGGACCAAACAGCATTAGGTGGTTAATTGATTTTTTTAAATTAAATTCTAGCATATTTATTTTACTCACAGTCTCCAACTAATATTTCTAGGCTTCTAGACACAAAATTCTACCTGTCTCAGGATGACTGCTACCTCACAAGCAGAAGGAACCACTGGCATGAGCTACACGGATTCAAACAAAAATTCTAAAGCTGCAAAGTGACTGGTAACCAATCCCCAACTACCTCACCCTCTCCTCCACTACACACACACACCCCTAAATCAACCAGCTCATCTACTTCCTCTGAAGCCTGTCAGTCCACACCCTTATTTGGAGCACAGAGAAAAACCTGCACCTACCTTGTGGCTTCTTGCTGAAGCCATGACACATTTGGCACATAGAACATGACTCCAAAGAAAAGCAGAGGCTCATTAGCGAATTTGTCCAGATGTTTCTTCAGAGGTTTCTCCAGCTCCACCCATCGTGCTTGCTGGCTCTTGCTGAGAAACCAAAGGCCAAAGTAGTGTGTCTAGGTAAAAAGACAAGACAGCATCAGTTCAGGCCTCCTAAGGGGCATCCTGAGACCACACAGGAAATATGACTCCAGCGTCTAACCTCACCTTTGATCCCCCAGCCTGGACACAAGGATCCAGCTTTCACTTTGGAACTTAGGAAAAGAAAGCAGAGGCACACAGGACTGTAAGCCACCCCGAGTCTCCAGATGGCAGTGTTCCTACCCACGGCTGCTACTTGCACACGTGGGGACAGATGCACCTCTGTTAGGTAAGGGCTGGGTGACACAGAGTGGAGACCATGCGGCTTATTCTAAGATCTCAAGCTGACTTCCCTGTGCTTTCGGAACGCCTCGAGATCTCACATGGAGCTCGCCGGCAGAGGCAGACACAGCTCCTGCACCTGCTGCAAAGTGACTTCCTGCTCAGCTCCGAAGATGAACCCTTCTGCCTATGTTAAGTGTCCGCAGCACAGAATATTTTCATAGGGTACCTGATTTGAACAGAAAATGGATTCACTCTGAGCTTTAATGAAGTACTTTAAAAAACAGTGGCCTCAACCACTTCGTTATACATGAACTGCAGAGAGTCTCACCCCCATATTAAGCTGGAGAGTGGAAGGAGTCGCTCTTCGCAGCTGCCACAGGAGCCCCCGGTGGCTGTTCTTGGCAGATTAGTGGGGGGGATTTGATAGATGAAAGTGAGGTTTTTCACCCTTGGACTTGCAGCCTCAACTGGTTGAGTTTTGAACAACGTGCTAAATGATTAAAACAGGTACTTTTATGCATCCAATCCTGTCTTTATATTAATTCATGCTAGGATTTCAGGATTAGCACAGCAGTCAACCAAAAAAAAAAAAATAGATCACTGCTTTTGAAGCATTCTTTTATATTTCAATTATAGCCTAGAATGGTTTACAGCACACCTGGAAATCTGCCTTCAAAGGCATGATTTCATTACAATGTTTAATTTCCAAAGGCATTTTTGTGCCCAAGTTCCCACTACAGCTGGCTGCACCCTCAACGATACAGTACATCAATCCCCGTCACCACGCCACCAAAATGTGTAATCAAGTCTTGACTCTGAGTTTACTAGAAAACCAGACATATCCTTCCCTATACATAACTGCAGATCTAAATATTCTAAAGGATATTGTTAAATGTGTGAGCTTTCAGATGGGACCGTTTCCTCCATGATATTTTACATGGCAAGTCCACACCAGAAATTTATGCATTTCTCAAGCAACAAAATGCCAACAAACAGAATCAAGGCTATATTTCTATTTAAAACTTAGGCCAACTTGCTTGAGTGAATTCTGACCCTATTGTTCATTTCCCAGCTCCAGCAAATCCATTAGTTGTTCCAGTGTGACTGATGATATAGAAGAAATGAAATGTGGCTGAGCGGAAAGAAAATAGGCAAAAAAAAAAAAAGAAAATAGGCTCTGACGTCAGTTCATCTCCCAGCTTCTACACTCGCTGTCTCCGTAACTGTATGAGTGATGGAGCCTCCCAGAGTCTCGGAGCTTTCTCCTCTGCGAAATGGGGGTGGTGATTACCCCCATCAGCCACAGGCTGTTAGGGGCATAAATGAGATAAAGACCAGTCACCATGTGCGTGGCCCACCTTACGTAACTACTTCACAAATGGAACTTTCTGTTGCAGCTATGTATCATCACGATCATCAGCCTCAGTAAAAAAAAAAAAAAGCAAACAAGCCTCAAGCATCTTTGTCATCAGCTGCTATTGGTATCCCTGTCAACCACAGAATCAGAAAACAGAAGTTATCTGGAAATAAAGGAGAACAGGAAGGCAAAAGCAGAAGCTGGAAGGTCTACGAGTAACATAAAAATCTAAACAGTATAAGAAAAAACTTCACAAAGCAGTGTCTCCCCAAAGGGTTTCTTTAAGAGTCTCATTAAAGGTGTTTATGGGACACTGGACTATCACTCTGAAGCTTTCCGAGGGGATCTATCATGTGGGCTTAGGCTAGCCTGAAAATGAGGCAATCCGGGGACTTAATTTAATAAACCATCTGAAAAAGATCCAATGCAGTTCTGCACTGCACCAAATTCCTTCACGGAGCACAGTGCCGTATAAGGGTATTCCACCGTATGTTGGATGACTAGGAGTGAGTCTGTATATGATAAATGAGGTAATATATGTAAGCAGTGATGGGCTATGTGATAATTATTTTACTTGGAAAAGAGCCCTTTTGTAAGCCTGGGTGGAGAAAGTGAGGGCAAACTTTGCAATTGCTTAGCAGGCCAACCACGATTTATCACCTTTCATTAAAAGCAGTCTTGACATTTGGAGGTATGATTTTACGGTCCCTACTTCACTCAAACTGTAACATTCACTCGAATTAGTAGCACTTAAACTATAAAGGGTCCACAATAACTGCATAAACATTCTATAATTGATTTTGCAAAAAAAACAAGGTAACTTTTACTTCTTCTGTGCTTTAAAGGCCAGTATTTTAAGTTTCCTTTTCTCCTTCCCACCCAATCATTAAACCAGACCTGATCTCTGCTCTTCAAAAAAAAAAAAGGAAAGAAAAAACACTCTGAGAAAGTATTCCATGGAACACACATATACACACAGATGCATGCATGCACACGTGCATACACAGAAAAGGAAGGTGATGAGTTATAAGAGAATCATGGTGTGAAAATAGTCTTGAGCTATAATTAATAGTACAGAATTCCAAATAACAAGGCAAACCACTTTTAATGTCAAAACCTATCCATGGTGTAAGTTACTTTTGCTGCTGCAGTACAACCTTTTCCACAAAACACAGGCTATTTCTGGGTGACTCACATGCGTTTATCCAATGAAACAATTATTTAACTATCCAAGAAATAGGGTTACAGTGCAGGAGAAGCAGATAACCTGGAGGACACAGTTTCTACCTGCTATGGCCAGAATGACCTAGTTTTAGAAGTGCTGAATTCAGTTATCCACCCCATCTGCACACTGTTTGGTAAAGCTCTGCTCCAAGTAAGGTTCTCCATTCCCACCTCATCCCTCCCTATTCTTCCTCTGTCATATGCCTGCTCTGGAGTGCTCGACAGAGGAGAAAGACCCTGTCTCCTCTCATCACCCTGCTCTATGCAAGTTCACAAGGCTGCACGCTCACAAGACTCAGCCATGTCTCACAGGGGCATCACAAGAAACAGAACCAGAACCTAACCTCTCACTTAAACTAACATGTGCACCAGTGAACTTCCTGTGAATCGTCCAAGGGGCCATTAATCCAATCCAGCCTAGCTGAGGCCACACCAGGCCTGTGCATAAGCCACCTGCCAATTTCAACTCCAGCTGAATTCTGAAAGCTGAGCTCCTCTGCTAAACACTGCCACGTGGTTGAAGAAACTGTGGTGGATTCCGAACAGAAACCCCCTCCTCCATGACCGAAAGGATTCTACCACACTGGCCAAGTAAAATGCCTGAGACACTTGTTGGGTTTATCTCCAAAGCACCAAACATAAGCCAGGTCCATCTAAGCCTCACAATACCTCTGTGTGAGCTCTAAATCCCATTTTATTTCCCTAGTTTTCTTTCGAAAAAAAAAAACAGCTCTGGTGCCGTGAATTCTGCAATGAGTTCCCTGCAGATAAAAAAAAGAAGACAGAAAAACCAGTTCCCAGAGAGAAGAACCACATCTCTAAATCAACTGCTAAAAATGCACGACTAAAATAACAATGGGAGAAGAGTCACCCTAAACTGTCCTTTTCATATGAGTAGCTTCCTGGTTTATTTGGTTTGGAGTTTTGCATTTTAACAGGAAAGCGTAAGTGTATGTGAGCCCACAAAAAATAGGTTTCTTCAGTGGCAGATTGGCCTGTAAATCCACCAGTGTGAAAGTGAGATCCCCCTTGTGGGATCATCCAAAGACTGTAGTGAAGAAGGCCTTTAAAAACAATTTGAGATGTTTCTGATTTGCTGTCCATTTATCTATAAAAATGGTATTATTCTCCACAGTAGCTATTAATGAGGGTAAGGTTTGTTTGGTTTTTTTTTTAGGGTTTTTGTTTTTCTAGTTTTGTGACCAACAGCACAGCTTAAATGCTGTTTATAAGGGTTACAGACACAGTCTTGGCAATTACTAGGGACCAGGGATTAAATCCAATGATCTTATCTCAAGCATTTTGAAGAGGTAATCATCCAGAAGCAAAAGTTTAAAATACCTTGCATTAGGCTGTAAGGGTTTCTCTGTAGGAGCGTACAGTTCGGTTGTAAATTAAGAAGCAGAGAGGTTGAGATGCCTCCACATAAAATATAGAGGAATTACACAGAAGCATTCAAACCTTCACTGAGGTATGGAAAATACTTCAAAAGATGACTGGACGCAGACTCTGAAATAGCAGTTCACGCAATTACATTCCAGCGGGTTTGGAAAATAAACCACCATACATCAGTTGGACAACTGCAAAAAACAACTTCTGCGCAATCAACCTCTACTCTGGAAGTCTGGGATTTCTATAACTGACACGTCTATAATTAACAACCGCACCATCTTCATTTTCCTAGGCAATCTCTTTGTAAAAGTACAGGAAAAGAAACTGCAGAGTAACAAAGACCCAAGCAGCAAATCTCATAGCCAAGAAAAATCCCTCCTTCGGAGGCTATACCACTCACTTGGAATACACAAAAAGATGAAGACCTTATAATCTGTCTATCTAGAAAAGAGACACTGGTGCCAATTTACCCTACAGAATTGACATAAAGCTAATAAGATTTCACATTATAATCTTTACAAAGACAAAACGCAGTACAAAATTCAGAAATCTCCCCAGCAGCCTACTCTTCAATCGTTTCTTAATCTTGGTTGATTATTTTAGTCCTCTGCAAATACAAACATATCTAGATGTGTTTAAGCTGGCTATAAAACACAGCAAATTCCACTATTATCTCACAGGGCCAGGGAATGAGGTGTTCGAGTACTCCCATTATCACAGATAAATTTCCAATTCCCAAAAGATTAACATAAAATCAAGCCATAGTAATGTCTTTAA